CACACTATCATTAAGTTTGAAGTTTAAATCTCCAGTGGTTCTTGAGATATTATGATAACAATCTCAATGTATGGAATTTCATAAGTTGACCTCTGTGACCCTTGACCTTTGACCTACATGCTCCAAAATCTAATCAGATTGTCTTCCTATGGTGATACATACTATCATTAAGTTTGAAGTGAAAATTCTCCAGTGGTTCTTGAGATATCGCGATAACGAATAATGTATGGAATTTCATAAGTTGACCTCTGTGACCCTTGACCTTTGACCTACGTGCTCCAAAATCTAATCAGATTGTCTTCCTATGGTGATACACACTATCATTAAGTTTGAAGTTTAAATCTCCAGTGGTTCTTGAGATATTATGATAACAATCTCAATGTATGGAATTTCATAAGTTGACCTCTGTGACCCTTGACCTTTGACCTACGTGCTCCAAAATCTAATCAGATTGTCTTCCTATGGTGATACACACTATCCTTAAGTTTGAAGTTTTTACATCTCCAGTGGTTCTTGAGATATCATGATAACAATCTCAATGTATGGAATTTCATAAGTTGACCTCTATGACCCTTGACCTTTGACCTACGTGCTCCAAAATGTATTCAGATTGTTTTCCTATGGTGATACACACTATCCTTAAGTTTGAAACTTAAATCTCAAATGGTTCTTGAGATATCGGGCTAACAAACTCAATACAAGGAATTTCATAAGTTGACCTCTGTGACCTGTGACCTTTGACCTACGTACTCCAAAATCTAATCAGATCGTCTTCCTATGGTGATAAATACTATTCCCGAGTCTTAAGTTTAAATCTTAAATGGTTCTTGAGATATTGTGATAACGGTCAAACGGGACGGACGTACGGACGTATGGACGTACGGACGGACAACCCGAAAACATGATGCCTCCGGCACCACCTTCGGTGGCGGAGGCATAAAAATATAAAATTATTACTTGATGGAGTAATCCCGTATCAACTCACTCAAGAAGCTATACTGGGAGGGTAGGTGAGGCGATTGCAGAAATGGTGTGTAAAAAAAAAAAAAACTCATCAATCAGCGCAGTAAAATATGCTATGTCCAGTGAAAGTACTATTATTATTTTGTTCCTTTTTTGGGGGGGGGGGGGGGGTCTATTGTGATTTTTTTTTAAAACCTACCCAGTATGAATAATGTCTTCTATTTGAAGCATTCAAATGCAACAAAACTGAACTCTTAAGGTGTTATGGGCAACCACTGTGGCTGGAGGCATTTTCAGTTTCCATGAAATTGAATTCATAATGATGATGATCAACACTTTAACCTATTTTTTCTAAGAGCTCCATAAAAGTACACTTACATATATAGCACTGAGAGAAGAAAAAATTCATATGCATTTTGTTTTGTAAGAAGAACCTTTTATACTTTTTGTTGTTAATGAGTTAAAAATGCAATCAATCATGATTGCATGTTAGAATATTGTGACAGTTATTGGTAATATCTTCTTGTTTCTAATAAAGAAATAGTTCAAGCAAGAAGGAAAGGTAAAATGATATATCGTTTCATATTTTAGGTTATTATGTTTAAAGGAAGAATAGATGGCTGTAACCAAAGTGGATAAATAACAATGACTAATAAGGGAGAAACACAATATTCATAATCAAGCAAAGTATTGAAGCACTGATATAGATCTACTGAGATCGTGATAGCTCAGTCGGTAGAGCAGTGGTCTCGTAGTCCGGTGACCCAGGTTCGAAACCAAGTCAATGCGCTAGTGCCCTTTGGTAAGGCATTAATCCTCATCACTAGGTCCCTCGGAGAGGACCTAAAGCAGTTAGTCCTCTGGTTGCTTACTAACAAGCATTTAAGCTCTCTTAGCAGTCAGGTACTACCACACACTCAATACTAACATGTAAAAAAGTAAAAAATGACAGGGGATAGCAGAGAAATATCTGAAGAAAACATGATGGTGAAAGAAAGTATAATTGGAAGATATTTATAAAGATTGGCAAAAGAAAAACAGGGACATTGAGTGATAAAGAAATATACAAGTATATTATAAATCAAGAAGATGAGTTTACAAAAAGGAAAAGAAAATAAAGAAGATATTTGCAAAAACACATTTTTAGGAAGAAGTGACGTATCCGATATATTTTACTTAAAAATTGCTTGCCTAAGTTGTGCAACATAATTCTTGCATCCTCTCATTCTCCCAATGGAGTAAAAGATGCGGTATTGTTGCCTTATTCCTATGACAACCCCATCCTAATCTCCTCCATCTCCCCCTACGGTATCATCCCAACAGAGGATAAGTCATAAAGCTTTGCATTTCATATTTCCCAACTTCAGAGAAATATAGCTTAGTTACCAAACTGCTTCTAAGAAAGACAGCAATAACTGTGGGCCCCTCTTAGGACTTCATACTGATTAACCAGCTAGCAATATGCTCTTTATTTCCATCAAATATGGATGTGTGATCAAGATTGCTTTTAAATGTCACCGCTTCTGTTTGATAACCTTGTCTCTTATGTATTCTAAATGCTACGTTATTTAACACTTTTTCACATTTACTTATTCACTAAGAAGAACACATCACTCTGAGTACCAAGAGATGAGTGACTGTTTCCTTCACAAAAGCTTTAGACTTTTGACTAACAAAGCTACATGTGTAGATTTCCTTGAGGCCAATATGATATTTAATCTCTCATTTTGTTCATTCTACTCTTTAAATCTTTCACAGCCATCTTCAAAAATAACTTTTCAAAAACTGCATTTGTAAATTACTTTTCACCCCTACTGTCAAACCAGAACATTCATGCATTAAAAGTTTTTTCTGAATTTCACACCTTGTTCAGCTTTGTGAAAGTTTCATGCTGTGAAAAAAAAACCTTACTTAGAAAATGGCCATTTGTAAACACTTTGTGAAAGTTGAATATAATGAAGAATTTTTTTTGCCTTCAACCACGCCCCCCTTGAGTAAACACAAAGGCCCGTATTCTGAAGTCGTGTCTAACTCCTGTTTAACTAAACAGTTGTCTAAGTCTTGTCTAAGTCCCGTCTAACTTTAGACACGAAGTCGTGTCTAACTTTTTTTGTATTCTGAAGTCGTGTTTAAATAAAGTTAAACACGAAGTCCTGTCTAAGTCCTGTTTAACTTTAGACAACTGCGAGGGGTTGTTTAAGTCCTGTTTAAGGGCACGATTCTGCTGCTTTTCAACGTCGACGGTACACTGTACTTGCTGACCCCGAACTTGCGGGGGAGAACGATGGTACGTGCATTCTCCAAAATTTCAAATACGTTTTGCAGGATTTTTTCTCGTGTAGCCTAATTTTTTTTCTCGATGATATTAACTATTCTTATCTACTGGTGACATCTTGGAAATTCCATAATCTATAATAAACTAACCATTCTGTTGGAGAAGTTTCTTTTGTGGTTCTTCCGAGCACTGAGGCACCGATAAGTAGTGTGTTTGTCAATCTCAGTGTACAGTACGTGTACTACGTACGTACGTACACAAAGTACATGCAGTCTAGTCATTACGTCACGATCACATCACCATGGTACCAGCACGCGCACAGCTAGCTGTGCGCGTTAATTTATTTATCCAGTGCGCGCACGCATGCGCATTGGGTCTTTCGTCAGAATTAACGCCTACTGGGCATGCCCAGAAGTCGTGACTAAGAGTTAAACACGACTTGCGCAGAACTTAAACAGTTGTTTAGTTAAACACCACTTAGACAGGACTTAAACAGTTGTTTAGTTAGACGAGACTTAGACACGACTTCAGAATACGAAATTTAGTTCAACAGGACTTAGACACGACCTCGCGGTCCTGTCTAAGTCGTGTCTAACTAAACAGTTGTTTAACTTTAGACGTGGCTAAGTTAGACACGACTTCAGAATACGGGCCAAAGGATTTGGGGTGAAAAAATGGCATCTACATGTAACACCATTTCCCCCTTTTGAGTAAGAAAATTGGGAAAAAATGTGGAAAAATAGAGAAAAATCGGGAAGAAAAAATTATTGGGCAAAAATCGGGAAACCAATTTAGATCGGGTAAATATCAGGCCTGAAGTATCTAATTTTATTCTGTGCACTGCAGAGAGCTTTGGAGGGATCTGACCTAGCTGACATAAAGTTCGACCAAATGCAGCGTTTAAAAAAAAAACATTCCAGAGGTGAATTTTTTATTTCAGGTTTGTCATCGATTTTATGATTAGTTGCGTCACAACTTCCAACAAACTCTGGAATGTGAAAAAAAAGTGATGGTTTTTGCTTGCAGTGCAAATACCCCTCATGACTGCATGACACATAATGCCCTTGTCTGGCTCTTCAAACTTGATTTCTTTTTTTTCTTCTGAAGCTGTGACATGTAATATACAAAAGAAAAAGACTGATAGGAGGGGGGAGGGGTGTTCGCAGAAAGGGATGATAAGATAAAAGGGGCATACACCTTTAGCATCCCCTGTGAGATTTGCAACTACCATACAATGAGTCACACAGATAAGACCGACGCCAGACCAACATCAGACCAAACAAGGATTTACATTACGACAACTAGCTTGGAGTTGGTTCTTCAATATGGCCGACAACTTAGGGATGTTGTACAAGAGTGCGTTCAAACGACACATTTTCACCCTAGAAACACGGTTTTCAAAGATGTTTAGTTTGAAACACGGTTGCGTTCAAGCAATTTTGTTTCAAAACGCAAACATAAAACGCTGAAAAAGATGCGTTTTGTATCGTGATTCTGCAAACGCTAAAAATCGCTTGAACACAACAAGATCTCAATCATGATTCTATAACGTCATTATCGTGGCCTGCTTCCGGTTTTGCTGACAGTCGACCGTAAACAAATTCAGGGCACGCGGCGAAGTTGATCTATACTTCCTGGGTTAAACTGCGCAGTGTGATGAGCAGTGGCTGGGCTTGAAATGAACAAGAATCAGCGTTGATCAAAAATCGCTTGAACTCTCTCCCACAGCAACCATGTTTTTTTGACAGCGTTTTGATTTGTGATTTTAGCTTCAAAATATCCCTTGAACGCACCCCTAGAGGGATTGAAGGTTATCACTTACTTGGTTTGTCTTCAAGAGTTCCTGGACTAGAAGAGGAATCTTAATAGCAGCTACGCTCCCAGTGCAGCCAAGCAAGACATGTTTCTTTGGACTGCTACAACTTGAAGACTCGTCCCCTTCTGTCATGGAAGGCTCTCCGGAAGTGCTTGTCATCTTACAGTTGTATTCTGTTATGAATATGTATTGACAGTACCAAAATGTTAAAATTTGCAGTCTAAAGCTATACCGGTACTCTCCTACAAATTTGGGATTTTCAAGATGATAACTAAGTATTTCAATCATTATTTTCTGCTTCCCTAACTATGGTTTTTGACTGGACTAATTCAATCCCAACTGGGGCATTCAAAACCCATTGTAGCCGATTCACATACCGGTACAGCTTAAATGCAGAAGTTCAAGCTTACTGTATTGCTAAAAATGCCTGTACACGTACATGTACATGTATAGGTGGCATATTAAACATACACATCTCCCCAAGTGAAATATACTATTTTTGGTCTAGCAATGCGGCAACTGTATATATTGTAAAGAGTAGTGGCTGCTGCATGCAGCCGGTTGCTGGGTTGCAACAGGGCCATCGTTTGCACTGCAAAATCATTTAAAATTATGAATGGCATTACAGCATATCACGTATCACACACACAGGATACACACTAAATTAACAGAGAAACAGCAGTAGTCATGAACAAAAAAGTATCCATAAATATCACCTTTTTTTCTTCTTCACATTTTTGCATTTTTTAAATGTATTGTTGAGGCATCATGGTTTTGAAACTAAAGCCCCCATCACACTATAACTAGTTCTCACTACGTTCTGGAGCCATCCTAGAAAATCGTCAAACTGGGAATGATCGGGGTAGATTGTGTATAAAATATTGTCTATAATACGATCCTTGTTCATTCATTAATATGTCCATCTCGTCTGTACCCTGTCCACAGTCAGTTCATATCAATTTCAAATCAGGTAAATTTGCCATTTCCAAGCAGTCCAAGCCAGTCCGTAGTCAGTTTAAACCCATTCATAACTAGTTTGCAACTTGTTCAAACTAGTATGTAACCCGACCACCCCATTCAGAGACAGTTCATCTCATCCTCATCTCCTTTTTAGTGCATCGAACATGCTCCTAGTGCATGTGCAATCCTGCCTGGCTCAAGGGCTATAAAAACCCAGTATGTTCTTGCCATTCCCGTTCAACACTTCAAGCTGTATTAACAAGCAAACGGACCCGGTCAAGCTACAAAATTCCATTCGTAGTACGTCCATCTCGTTTTAAGAAGTAGAACGTTGTTACTCAGTCTCATTGCAGGACAGGGACAATTTTGAAAAGGCTCAAAGTTCTAGAACACATCCCATCCGAGCCAGTCCTAACCCGTCCATGAAGTATTAAAAACAGATCAGGAAACAGTTGCTACTACGTTCAGTCCGCTCGCACACAGTTTGAGCCCATTTGGCAACATTTTCTAGAACATAGTGGGAAACAGTGTGGTGTGATTGGGGCTTTAGCTGTATTTACTGGTGAAGAAAATTTCAGATTCAGAGAAAATGTAAATTGATATTCCATTGCAACTCCAGTTTGTTTCATTATTTTTCTTTTGTTCAAACAGTAAAAATATGGATATTCATGATCTGAGTAAAATGTGAAAATATTGCAGGAATGAGTTATGAAATTGGAAGTTAAGTGGCTGTAAAGTGTACGCCACAACTCTTACTTAAGTCTTATTTTAATCATCACAAAGACAAGGGCGCTAGTTCAGAAGTAAGAGACCGTAATGATGATGATGATCATCATCATGTGAATTACTTACATGAATTTAAAGAGGATCTGAGATAACAGATGCCAACTTCACAAACGCGAGCGTGCCTGCACCCCACCATCTGTACGGTATGCAATTGTATTGTGCAGCGGTTTGCAGTAAAACCTGTGAGAAAGTGTACATTATAATGTCTTTGTTTTTAGGAAAATACTCCAAAAAAGATTTTAAAAATGGACACAAAACAGGTAAGAAAGATTAACTTTTATTTGAACAATTTTTGAAGATTTAGATCTAGAATCTAGAGTTGATTTTTGGTATGTTAATACTTTATTACTTAGTTATCATAGGGTATCTCCATGCCGGAGTCACAGGTCAAAGTTAGGATACGATTCTGAACTAGTGCCAATATAAGTCACTTGTGTCCCCGATTCCCTGTCATCTTAGCATCTGCGAGCATATAAAAACATCTCATCTGTGTGTTACTGTTAGCCCTAAATTTCTCGACAATCTTATGGTTCATTAAGCTGCACATTTTTTATGATGTCAGTTATGTATGGATTTACTAAAATTATTTTTGTTTGCTTCAATTTGATTCATTTTCACATTCTGAGGAATACCTTACAAGATACAGTTTTGTAACACACAATGCAGCTACTGGGACTGCCCTGTACACATCTCTGGTTACCCCGATACTACAGCCTACACGCGCCAGGCCCACTATATAATTTATCGTCTGCTATTCCTATTTGATTACACAATTACAACCATTCATCACATCCCAACTACGTATTGATCGTACCATGATCATAAGCTTGGAATACCACTTCAGAGAAATATCACAAGCTTTTATTCAATCTAAATGTTGCTTTTTAAAGGAATATTTGATTTTCTCACCTGCTATTTTCAATGCACTGTGCACTACTCTTGCTCGACGCCGTATATTTGTACCGACCGCTACGTCAAAGCTGAACAAGATCGAAGGGGCATTGCAATAAAAAGTTCAGTGGTGTTCTTCAGCCAAAGCTTGTTTTGACTTTTGAGCCCCATCGACGACCCCCCCCCCCCCCCACCCCACCCCCATCCATCCATCCATTTTTTTTTTAATCTTCCCATTGGGACAATGTTTGCTTCCGTTATATTTATCCCAGCTAGTTACATATGTAAATTATCTTTCTATCTTGTGTAGTTAAACACGGATTTGAAGAAATTGGTTTCATAGTAGAAGCACTTATAATAGGAATAAACCATTGGATTATAATTGAGTTGATCTCCGGCGTTGATTTATTTGAATCGAATTTTACGTTTGCTAATTTTACAATTACCTTTTATTCTCCTGATACTTTCTGGTGTATATAATGGTTAGTCCATATCATCTTACTCTGAGAGTGTTGGAACTTTTTTTTCAGTGGTGGCGCGAGTTTGACAGTGGCGTATCCAGCAGAAGTGGGAGCAGGGGGTACAACCTCGTGAAAGCTCAGAAAGTAATAACGGCTTGTTGGAAACCACCAGCACCGCGACTAGAAATCCCCCAAACTATGGCCCAATTTCATCCCATATTCATCATTTCACCATCACCCCCGAATATGAAAGTATTCCGGCCCTTGTTACTCAATTTTATAAATGGTTTACACCCAATCCTACTTCCTAAGAAAGTTACGTCTTTCCGTGGATAACCGCTACAGCCGTATCACCTCACATGCCCATCAAAATGCAGTTTTCCGGGGGCTTCGGGGCACGTACAACGCTTTAAGCCACGCAATACCAAACTAAAATGGGAACGTGGCCCCATGGGGTTTGATGGGTTAATAATATGTAACAATCTGTCATTGACGACGTTCCATGGTCACGTGCAAGGTAGTTGTTTCTAACAGGGATAGAGTTTCTAAACATGACTCCTGGCGTGAGGGAATTAATTGAAACTAAGAAGAAGCGAAATGTAGATCCATGCCCGAAAGATTTCCCAAGATAGAAATCGCCCTCTTCAGAATTGGCGTTTCTGTTGCAGAAAAATCGAGCTTTTCCCCCGAGAGGAATAGCTGTATGCGGCGTATTTCACCGTTGATCAACCTCCTCTGCAGATGAGTTTCAAGTTCAACGCGTCGAAATAACCGAGTAACATAATCTTTCTTAGAGGCTACAACTTGATGAGAAAATCGTTTTTAATCGAATTCTGGAGCTAACCATAGCGTTGAGAAAGGAATGTGGGGATTTCGGCAAGTTAAAAATCTGTCACTATTTTATTCCTTTTTACCCCAAATCAGTTTAAATATATGACAACACCATCCACCCCCAGCCAATCCCTCCCATTTTTAAATGCTTTGCTTTGCTTATCTTGGTAAGAGAATTTCCGCCTGCTTGGGGCCAAATAGGCCTAGTGGTGCGACTTCACCACCTCCATTCAAACTAATGTCTAGCAATGCCCCTGTATGTATAGCTTTCCGTCCTAAGGAAAGAAATTCCCTTTCTCCCTTTTTTTGTTCTTTCATTCCCTTTCTTTAATGACAGGCCCGACCATGTTTTTCCAACAGATCGATGACGCTATTCCACAGTGCAGAAGATTTGTGAGTCGGAATCCTTCTAAATAGAATAAAAACAAAATAAGCAATTTATGCAAAAATAGGCACATAATACTAATTTGAAGAAAAAAGTATTCAAAATGATCGACCCTTGACTACATCCTGCATAATCTGATCTAAAAAGGGAATTTATTCCTTGAAATGCTAGAGCGCCGTATATGGCAGCCGTGCTAAAGCCAGGGTAATAATCGGGAGCGCCAGGAGGGTCAAATCTGACTGACATGAGCGCTATACAAGAACCCACTATTATTGTTATTATTAAAACCAAGACTTCTTCTCCATTTAATACAAGGCTAATCCTAGTCTTAAAATTGTTTGAATGAAAACCTATATTCATTATTAGCTCAAGACCAAAATCATGTCCCCGGCGCTCGTGGATTTCCATAAGTTTTTGAGTGCTTTTATACTTTATAAACAAAACATGGCTCTTCAGGGACGGAGGAGTTAATCGAAATTTCTTTGACTTTTGACTTTGCTTGTGTTTATGAAATAGAAATACATGACTAGACTACGTTGTGACATTGTCACTTGCTATGAATATACTTGAAATAAAGTGTAATCCAACAAAACTCTTTTAAGAAATTACTCACGACAGTTTGATGTTAGGTATATTTAAAAAAAAAAAAAATCAAAGCCAAGGTCATTTTCGATTTCTCGTATAATTATTGTTTGCCTATACATTGATAAATTAACATTGTCTTCACCTTGATGCCACAATAAATATCCCTGTTGCATATGATGCGTCAACTTTCTGACGTAGGAATGCGTCAATGACTGTGCGTGGTGTCATGTTTGACATGCGCCATTATAAGAACGGAGTTGTACAGAAATCGATTGCAAACGAATGGCGCAATCAAAGTGACGACTTATTGTGTTCAACGGGTGTGTGCATAGGCCTTTACAACGTTCGGATATATTTCACAAAGTAACATCCCTCCCTCAATTTAAGATCTTATTTGTACTAGTGCATGAGGGAGAATATTAAAGTTAAACACCTTCAATGCTGAATATTGTGATGGAGGGTAGGGTGGCATGACTTTCTTCATAAGGATTCTCTTTTACGTTTTACCTCCAAACTCCTCCAAATTTAGGAGCTCCAACAGTTCTACCTGGAGACCTAAGCGTTCATCAAAATCACGAGTTATACATCCTTGATCAAACCTGACGCCAACAGAAACAAGAGATGAGTCCAAAGCAGTGTCATTACGGCTTTGCTATTGTATCGTGTTACATGAAACCACGGGACCTTAATCCAATACAGGTTGTAATGTGAGAGAGAAGCGCCCTACCCTGCGTAACACCTTCACTATCTAATCACCGTCCTTAGGGGAAGACGAATTCAAGCCCCTAACCTAATAACCTTTCACGTAATCATGGAGGACTGTACCTAAATATACCTCTCCTCTCTTTCTCTAGCTCCTTCCCACATCTTTCTCTTTCGCTCCATGTTTTCCGATATTGCCCTTCGATTTGTATTTGCCTTTAACATTCAACTCAATCAAGAAGGACGATGCCTAACTCTTAGGCCTCTCTCTTCGTCTCCTTCTTCAATCATCTATCATGTTGGCCTGCGTCTTAATTGTCTGTTTTTCGGTGTCTCTCATTTAGCGTCCCTCTATAATCTTCGCTGTATTTTGTGGAATAATGATACACTTAGCCTTATCAAATTCCTTCTAATATTGTTATGAAAAAATACTTTAGCTCCGCCGTTAGCGGAGATTAGCAAGAAAACGATAACTCCGGTAGAATTGGATATATCCATTTTCCGGACAACATCTTCAAGACAGTGTAGCCATGTATGGGAACTAGAGATTATGCGCCATGAAAAGATTGTGAAGCTACAAGTTTCTGTCCAGTATAGGGTGAACCCGCGGTGAGCTCCCCCTTCCCTATTTGGAGGCCCAGTTTAAACCAATTAATATAATAAAATAGCAAGGGGTCTATATATACAATAGTAAGGGGGCTTGCCATCTATGAGACAGAGATCGATGGGTGCTCAGATACAGCACGCACCCTTTCTCCCGTATAGCCCCCCCCCCCCCCCCACCTCCTATTCGATTTCCGGATACGCCACTGCCTTTGAGCGTATCCAGGCAATAAAGGAGATAGAATCCTCGTGTACACCTGAGACACATGTTTTGTTCTAGTGAGGATCCGTAACTCTACTCGAAAGCCTGGCTCAGGTAGTGGAGATAACCATCTGAATCACCTCATTTACAGCGACAAGTTAAGCCAGTGTGATTTGGAATGCCGGAGGTAAAACCAACCGGGAAAGATGGTTGGAGAACAAGAGTAGAGATAGAGACAGAGACAAGGAGGGAGAGGGAAAGTGTTGGAGAGAGAAAAGAGAGAACGATAGAGAGAGAGAGAGAGAGAGAGAGAGAGAGAGAGAAGGAGAGGCACATAGAGAGAGACAGACAGGGTGAGAGGGGGAGTTGAGGAGGATGAAGATGTGTGCACATACTTAGCACAATATACCATTCGATATAATTATAGGGATTTTTTTTTTAAAGCTGGCTGAGCAAGAGAAAGTGTAAAACAAATAAGAAATACACAAGCAAGTATGCAGGTAGAAAGGAAATTGAGTGGCGTCTTTTTATATGATTGAACGAACGCTCGGACGACTCGGCCAAATCAAGTTTTACCAGGGAGATGAGACACTTCCCTAGTTTTACTGAGTCTGTCGGGGAAGGGAGCATGGTTGGCGTTCTCTAAGGCCTTCTCCTTCTATTGAATACGCCGATGGGTGCACTTTAATGCTTCAATGACATGATGATTAATCGTTCTCGTACGTTCTTAGAATAGATTTTGATTATTGAAATGGGGGATACGAGGTTACCACCGAAATTTTATTTCCATGGAGTACCATATTAAATGGAATCCTATCTCCGCGCAGTCTCAATCGAGACTCGTTACCGCCGTCACTCGAGGCTCAAGCTTCACCCAGATGCTCAGGTGTTATGGGATGCCCTTTTAGGGGGTCCTGCCCGCGACTTTATGAATAGACAGTATTAAGTTTTAATACACGAACACTCGGTGGTAACTGGATGTTCAAGCAAGCTCTTTTCCAACCACGTACATGGTGTAGGGGCGGATTCAGGATTCTCATGACTGGGGTACGGGGCATAAGTTCAAAGACAGGTAATTTTCGGTTGCATTTTGGGGGATCTAAATTATTCACTATACCGGTATGCATACAGCTTGAGGTGTCGGGGTCTAGCGGAAACGTCAACGCACTGTGGATCACAATAGTTCGCGGTTGACTCTTATATGGTTCTCATGGCTCATCATGTGTGTGTCTATTTATACTTTCACTCTTTTCCGTTTTGGGCCGTTTAATTGGG